GTCGGGCTTCCGCGGGAGTCACGTGACGCATTAGAATAATGGCCGAGCAAGAAGCAAAACATCTTGTGTTTTTATGACTGATGTGCTTCCCCCCCATCCCCCCCTCCCCCCTTTAGTTTTATTTCCTGAAAGTGATATCATACTAATCAAAACCACAGAACGTTTAGAGTGCAAAGTGTGATTGAAAGAAGACCATTAAGGAACTGGTACCCCCCCCCTAACCCGCAACCCCGACGCCATATATACGGACAATCATTGCTGTTTATTTTTGCTTTTGTTGATTTTGTCTTCCCTTCGTTAATGGGAACTGGGTGTGGTCTCTGTAAAGTCGGTGTGCACTATCCCAGGGGTGCCCACATGATCATATACACAAACACACCATCACACACACGGCATAGATCCTTATCAATTTATATATTCGTCAGTCAGTCGTGGAGACTGCCCTGGTGGCGTATCCCCCCGCAGTGGCAATGCATTGGTCGCTAGATCCCGGTGATGTGCTGTCGAAAGGGAGTGAAGTGTCTTACACACACACACGTGCACACACACACACACACACACACACACACACACACACACACACACACACACACACCACACACACACACACACACACACACACCACACACACACACACCACGCACACACACACACACACAGTTGCACTCTCGCACACAGTTAGTCAGAGGGGAGTGTGAGTGCAGCAGACAGCAGGCAGAGTGACTGATACTCAGCCTGCCTCCCAGATGGCCTGCTCAACTCTGCTCCAATCTGATCTCGGATCCTTTGTTCTGGCATGTTCCATTACGCCGCTGTGACACCAGTAAAGGCAGAGGGGAGAGAAGCTGGTCTCAGATCAGATACAGCTGAATTATACATGTATTTCTCTTTTTTTCTTCTCCCCCCTCTGTGATATTCTTGTACTAGCACAGTCGCGTTTTTCATGTTTGTTCCTGGGGAAAAGGCGAGTGACGGGTTCATAAACGACAGATTATTGAATGAGTTTGATAGGAGGCATTTTGGGGGAAAGGAGGTAGTTGTGGCCTGAATGCTTTATTAAACTCTTTGGCCTTGGCTCTATGCTAGCAACAAATTAAAAAACAGGAAAAGCTCCTCAGCCACAAGCCCTATATGCATATTTGTGGTCTCACTTTGAAGGTAACAAGGAATGTAAAGCCATTGTAAGCAAGATCCCATGGATAATAATGCATCTGAATGTAGATAAATCCTTTAGTGGTTTTATTCTTCATATAAATTGTGTTCTTTGGTGGGGATTATTTGCTGGTTTGGCGGAAATAAAACACGTCAACTCAGCAGAGGCCTTTCACGAGAAGGGATGCATTGTCTTGTAAATGCTGATCTTTTATGAAATATCAAATAATTGTTTTCTGCCTAAGATAGAATGTGGAATCTGACACAGTTACAGGAAAACTGGAAGATGTGTGCCTTGTACTATACATGTATGTACATTTAAATGTAGGTTAAGGGCTTTTATACTTTTTTGGCCATTTAATGTGTAAGAAGCATTACTACCATCTCTGTATCATCTTTATAAGAATATCTAGTTTGGCGGTCCTTGGGTTAGGGTTATATTCCAAGATTCTGAATATAAAATGTCAAGTCTTCCTAATGGCATAATAGTGTGTGCAAAGTGAAAGTGTAACAGTAGCTGGCCTTTACAGGAGTGTATATAAAACGCCACAGGCTCACCTGTGACAATCACTTTAACGTTGTGTCTCCAACGGTGAATCTTCTTAGCATAAAAAAAGACGGGAGATGAGGAAGGAAAATCAATACTCGCCGGATAGTTACGGCTGGGTGTCAACAAGCGATTCCGAGTCTCACACACCCAGCTGTGCACGCCGATGCCTAATATACGGGGTGACCTTCAAAATGTCATAAATGTGTTGTGCAATAAAGTGTCAATATTTGTGGTTATATGGGGCAGTATGACTTTACAGTAATTGGAACAGTCGCATTAAAAGCGACGGATCAGTCAACTGATTAAAGACGAGCATGCTGGACACCCGGGGAATGACGCGGATTGTCACATCCGTGCACACACACTTGCGTGAAACACACCACCAAGTTCTGTTTTACCTTTCTTTGTAGTGTGTGTGTGTGTGTGTGTGTGTGTGTGTGTGTGTGTGTGTGTGTGTGTGTGTGTGTGTGTGTGTGTGTGTGTGTGTGTGTGTGTGGTGTGTGTGTGTGTGTGTGTGTGTGTGTGTGTGTGGGAATGTGTGAAGCCCATTTATTATTGAAGGGCTGTTATATGCCAGGAGAGCACACTCTCATCCTCTCAGTAATGTGTCTTCCTCTTACAGGAGCACTATTAACCCTGACACACAAGGACGTATCTGCGTGTGAATGTGTGTGACAGAGAGAGACAGTGTTTGTGTGTGTGTGTGTGTGTGTGTGTGTGTGTGTGTGTGTGTGTGTGTGTGTGTGTGTGTGTGTGTGTGTGTGCGTGTGTGTGTGTGTGTGTGTGTGTGTGTGTGTGTGTGTGTGTGTGTGTGTGTGTGTGTGTGTGTGTTTGGGAGTGTGGTCTGGTGTTGGTCCTGCTTCTAATCTGTGTTTTGGATTTTTTTAATTTTAGCCCCATCTGGGGTGGGCAGGTGGGCTTCTGTCTGTTACACGATCTGGGGAGTCTTTGCCAAAAGGGGATCTGTACAGTAGACCGCTCAAAATATGTTTATGAGGAGGCAACTATGGCTACAGTATGGTGCCGTCCTGGGCCAAGCACTCTGGGAATTGTAGTGGCTTTTATTTATTTATTTTCTGTCAACGGGCAATTTTTTCAAATCCGGTCAAATTAAAATGCAAAAGAAAAAAGGGGGGATGCAGTTAATGTGTTCACACAGTACTGCAATAAGCAGGGACTTATGTAAGATTAGTGTTCTTTTGTTTTTTAAATGTAGTTGTACTATGCTTTTATTTACATTTGAATATGTTTTCATTAAAAAAGTCTTTAGGTTGGGGCATTCAAAGAGTCAGGATGTAAAATGTTCCTAATGACATAATAGTGTGTCAACGTCAAAGTGTTAGTAGTTGGGCTTTACAGGCATATATATATTTATATTTTAGATCATAATATAGTTTCACATGATATTATACACAAAATGTGTCTTAAGCAATGTAACAAAGGATAGAATATCATTTTGGAAATGTTGACTTTTTTGAAGTTGCCAATCTTACATTTTAACAACCCAACCATTTTTTCACTTTTAATTTTATTTACTTTTTTGGTGCCTTCAGTCCCTATCCAGACACAAGTAGACATAACATATTGTTGAATCTGTAAAGAACTTTCTGTTTCCACTCCTCTGTTTCCTCTCTGCCTGTGTAATGTCACATATTGTTTAAAAAGCAACTTTAATATAAAAACGCAATCCACAGTTTAACATCTGCTTCCCCAACCTAACTGTCTCTCGGCCTCTTTCTCCTCACTAGTACATAAAAATAAAAACGGCACTGTAGCCAAGCCCAAGTAGAAGCAGCTGGTATTCAGTATCTGCGTATTGTCACAGACTTACATTACGGTTGCCTTTCAGTTTCACTTGTGATAAATAGCCCTCAGCCTGATAGCAGCGTGGCTGAATGGAGTTGTGTGTTTAGTGTCAGCGTGGACAAGGACATGCTGACTTGGGTCTTTCCATTCTGTAAACCTTATTTGACTCCCCGACAGAGGAGGGGTTGGAATGGGGTGGGAAGCGCCAGAAAAAGAAAAGATTAGGCTAATGTCAAAAAATGCTCCTTATTGTGCGCTGTGGTCGCCTAAGTGGGTTACTCGATTTTAGATTATTTTTCTGGCTCCCTCCCCTCCGCACATACCAAATCATGTGCCAGATTAAAAAATAAATAACATTTTAACTGTATTTGTGCCTCTTTGGGTCCCGCTAGATTTATTTTTAGGCAACATATTCGGAATGTCTTTCTTTTCTTTAACCTCAACAAAGCAAACTTGCTTATGACCGCAACGTTTACGAATCTCCTAGCAGTACACATTTGAGATAAATAAATGATGATGTGATGTGACGAAAAAAGAAAATATTTTCATATGAATTTGCAATGAAATCTGTGGTGACAGTTGCGCACCGTTGAACCCGCCACACAGTGACGCCCATCAAATGCTATCGGAACTAGTACAGATATTTTTAATTCAAAAGCTTCAAGAGACATATCAAGCATCTGTTGTGTGTTCTCTTTTGTTTCTTTCAAGTTTCATGTTTTTTTAACTTAATTGTGTTGCTTAGACCTTTAAATTCCATGACTGTCAGCACATCACAAGCTCTTAACCATCCGTACAACAGGGCCAGTGTGTACAATCCGCCGGTGACACCCTCACCTCGGTTTGTGCTGCTGTCAACACATTCCCAGGTTGTCGTCACTCATCTTTAGATTCATATTCGGGAAGGTGATTGTGTTGATAACAGACTGCTGTTGCACTAAACTGTGCATCATCGTTTTTTGGCGCGCGCGAAGGAAGTGGCGGAGGGCGGGGTCAGAGCCGTTATCACCCTATCATATCTCTGACAGCTACCTGTCAAAATCAGGTCGCGGGGAAGAGATGCGAGGAGATGCTGCGATGCTGACATAGCCAAATCTATCTCAATTTTTTTTTTCTGTCTTATTTTGCATTGTTCATTTTCACTGCCATCCAGCATATGCTTAATAGGAATGATGATGATAGCAAGGACACAAAAAGAAAGAAAGGAAAACAGGAGGAGAAAGGGAAAGGCACTGGTGTTGAGGGTGTGTGTTCTGGGGGGTGTATCTCAGGACTTTCTAAAGAAAAGCTTATGAATTGTCAGCGTTCTGTCAGGGAGGAAAATAGCACGGCCTGATGACTTTGTGTGGTGTTCGCACATTTGAAAAATGTAGGGACAATGACTGACAGAGGAGGAAGAATGAAAAAAAAAACGTGTTGTGTTATGATGTGTGGTGGGCTGGTTTGAAGTAGCACTCAACACACCTTCTATTTGTCTCTGCGTGTGCTCCAGATGTTGGGGATGACTTGGGGAAGGCGGCGGGGATCGTTCAGCCGGCTCTGTCCCAGCATCGCGAGCGAAGCGTGGCCTCGTCCTCCAAGGATTGCGCCTACTGCGGAAAGTCCTTCCGCACCTCCCACCACCTCAAGGTCCATCTGCGGATACACACAGGTCAGTACTTCCACTAACCCTAACCCTAGCCAACCGCTGCTACAGAGTGCATTTCTCTATCAATTAAACATTTATTGTACCTCATGCAAAATGTACTCCACTAGATGTACTGACAATCCTTCTGGGGTTAGACTGACATATTGGTTTATGAGTATTGGCCTAATAAAATATTGGAGTCAATCTGCCTCTCATATGATTGATATGATGCAGATGAAATCATTGGGTATTGGTTTTGTAATTGATACTGCATTAGTTGCCCTTAATCTTATTTTTAGTCTAATGCCAGACACACATTAATATTTCTAGACTTGCCATTAGAAACTACCTCCAGTGAAATTAAGTGTATAGATGGTCACACTTTCCAAACCCTACAGTGCCCTGAAAATAAGCAGAACCGTGAAAAACCCAGTGATCCCAGTTCATCAGTTACTGTGATTCTCACCTAAATCATAATCCTGTTTAGATGTAATCCTAGAGATATTATTCCGTGCGGTCTTATCAGATTTTTGATTGCAATGCATTTATTCACAATGACATAAAGACAAATAAACAAAACTGTTCACGAGGGGGAATAAGTGTTTCCTAACAGTGTCCCTCATTGAGGCTTAAGGCTGTCATTATTACGTTTTTATTCGGTTTTTTCTTGCTCATTTCATTGAGCTCTAATTAACACAACAAGGGTTCAGTGTCCTCCAATGACATCACTCGGAGGGCAATTTCACACTCGCTAACTCTCAATAACTTTCGAGCCAAAACAAAGCCGGCCTGTCCACAGTTTAGGGATATGCGTGAGATGATGCGCCTAATAGATTAAGCTTTATTTTGCAGCCAAGCGGCCTAACCCTCTGAGCTGTGTACTTCCTGCCTTACATATCACCAGCCACGGCTCAGCCACTTCTGTGATAACCTGTCCGTTGGTTGTTGCTTCGAGGTTAAGGCTGAAGTCAGAGTAATGATGTGGACTGTGGACAGTAGCCAGGGTTCTGCAAGGTACGAACGCCCCACTGACTATCCAGGGTAAAGTCACAAATAGACCATGCACAGGTCACCTTAAAGCAAGGACACCTGATTCTGGCCGGTGGGCCTAGTGTTTGAAGTTTAATTTTGTAAGGTGATTCAGAGGGAGTTAGGGTATCTTGCCATCTGCTAAAAAACTATAATTTCATTATGTATTATCTTTAAGCTGGGATTTTAATTATTAATTGAAAAATGTTTGGTTATTGAATAAGATATTACTATGATATGACATTATATATGACAATGATATCAACATTGAATAATGAATTATGTTCAATGCTAAATATTTTTGCTTAAAGATAATGGAATTTTGGCTATTGGAAAAAGATGTTTGAGGTACAATGTCATTTAATGACCAGCACAAGGCAACACCACTCATTACAAAGATATTGATTGTATAGAAGTCTATGAGAAAACGTGATCTTGGTTATGAAAAATACATATGGTTGAGGTGTGCTAACCCCCTTAAAATTGAAGCCAAGGTGTAAGTACCTGAAACCTGCATTATGTTAATGGCCAGCAGGAGGTGACCACACACACAGAAAATGCCACTACTTCTAACTCGATTAATTACCTCAGTTAACATGTTCCTAATGTGTTTATGGTCTCAATAGCTATACAAAATGATGGTCTGATTTAGATTAAAAAAAGACGACAAAGCAGGGTTAGCTTTATGGCGATGCTAACTTTTGATTGACAGGCAGCTACCACGCTGTTTTCAGGTTGGAGTGTTATCCCATATTGAAATTTGATTTTTTTCAGTTCATAAAAGTTAGAAAAACAATAGTCCCCCAAAAATTCATATTCAACATTTAGTTGTACTTAGTTCCACATCTCGCATCACTTCTGGGTGCAAAAGGCAAAATTGCAACAAAAAGGAAAACTGTAGAGCACAAACCAATGGTTACGTCTACTTTTTATACAGTCTGTGGTTTTTCCCAGATCATCCATTGCATTATGTATATACTGTATCTGTGAAGACAATAAGCACAGTGATTTTCTAAAAAAAACTTGAACACAAAGACAACGTTTAAATATTCAATCACTTTTCTCTCTGTCTCTAAGTCAATGACTAGTACCCCTAAAGTTCTGAAATGTTCTCAAATTGTTTGTTTGTAGCCTTTATTTAACCAAGTGAAAATCCCATTGAGATCAACAATCTCTTTTTCAAGGGAGACCTGCAGCACATTGGTTACACATAAAAACAACAGAAAACAAAAACGACATCAATACAACATAATTACAGGGGTATACATTAGCAACCTATTCACAATGACAGATATCTAATAACATTTCATCTATCCGAGCTTTAAAATGATGCAGGGGAACCAAAATGTTCAGTTTAAAAAGAAATTGCATAGTGTTCCAAGCTAGAGGAGCAGCACACATACAAGCTTTTGTACCTAAAACAGTCCTAGCACTTGGCACATGTAATAAAAACACATCCTGGGATCTCAGGCAATAGCTACTTGCCACTCTCTGTGAGATCAAAGAGTAGATATAAGATGGTAGTTTACCCAACATGGCTTTATAGATAAACATGTACCAATGACTGAGCCTCCGTACAGTTAGTGAAGGCAGACCTGCCCTGGCATACAGGGTACAGTGATGAGTAAGTACTTTACAGTTAGTAACAAATCTCAGGGCACTGTGATAGGCGGCATCTAACTTTTCCAGGCAATGGGCTATTCATATATATCAAATCACCATAGTCCAGCACAGGTAAAAATGTCACAGTGACTAGCCTTTTCCTGGCTTCAAGTGAGAAACAGGACTTGTTTCTGAAAAATAAACCTCAGAAACCCTCAGCTTTTTAAGCAGATTAATGACCTGAAGTTTAAAAGTAAGACAATCATCAAGCCAGATACCTAGGTATTTATAACAGGTAACCACTTCAAGTACTTGTCCTTGCATAGTAACAATATCCAAAGCAGTCTCTGGTGTCTTTTTAGCTTTTGAAAAGAGCATTACCTTGGTTTTCTCAACATTTAAAAGAAGCTTAAGTTCAGCAAGCTGAGTCTGAATAATGTTAAAAACAGCCTGTAATTTAACAACAGCCTCCTTAATGGAGGGACCTGCACAGTACATCACGGTATCGTCCGCATAAAAATGTAAAGTAGCTTCATTCACATTTTCACCTAAACTGTTGATGTAGATGGAGAATAAAAGTGGACCTAAAACAGAACCTTGAGGAACACCATTAGTAATGTTTAACCACTCAGAAGACAGCCCATCAAAGTGAACACATTGGGACCTTTCAGAGAGGTAGTTCACAAACCACCCTACTGCATGGCTGGATATGCCTATACTGACCAGCCTTTGCTTTAAGATGCGATGATCGACAGTATCAAAAGCTTTGGAAAGGTCAACAAATAGAGCTGCACAACTCTGCTTATTATCTAAAATACTCGTAATGTCATTCACCACTTTCATTGTGGCAGTGATGGTGCTATGTTGCTTTCTGAAGCCTGACTGATGTTTAGACAGGATGTCATTGTTACATAAAAACTCCTTTACTTGTTCACTCACTAGGCGTTCAAGAACCTTGGCCAGAACTGACAATTTAGAGATGGATCTATAGTTATTTAAAATAGTGGCCTCCCCTCCTTTTAGCAAAGGCAATACATAAGCTGACTTCCATACTTTTGGAATTGCATTTGTGCTGAGGGAGAGGTTAAAAAGAGTGGTAAGAGGAAGAGCAATACAATCTGCAGCTATCTTTAAAAAGAAAGGTTCTACGTTGTCCGGGCCAGCCGGTTTCTTAGGATCTAGCTTGGTTAAGACTTCATGAACAACATTAGCAGTAAAAGGAGTAAAACTGAAAGGGCTTTCCAGACCACATTGTTTAGAGTCACGGATTGGGGTGTTCACAGAAGCAGAGTTAGTCACAGAATCAAACAGGGAGCCACAGGACACAAAATGCTTATTAAAGCAATTTAACATGGTGGCCCTGTCCGATATAGAGCCAGATGCTGTGGTAAGGCACGGAGGTAGCTCATTACGGATATCACTGGTGGATATCGATTTGTATGGCTTTCCAAAATGTCCTAGGATTATTTAGGTTTTCTGTGGTAACTGACAAATAGTGCTTTGACTTACTGTAGCACTTTTGACATGTGAAGTGAAGCTATTTCTTAGCTGCCTAAAACGCAGCCACTCTACCTCTGAGCCTGATTGCCTAGCCTTTGCCCAGGCCTTGTTTCTCTCATGCAGGAGACTAGACAGTTCAGCAGAAAACCAAGGATTGTCACGTCCCTTTATTCTAAATGTACGCAGGGGTGCATGTCTATCAATGATCTCCATAAAACCAAGAATAGCTTAGTCCAACTGTTTTGACCTGTTTTCTAGTTTTACACTTCAGAACGAAGTAATCCTTGAGTGCCAATAGAGAAGCAGAGGCTAAAACGCTGAACAAAATCAATGCTTACTTTTCTTCTCTTTCTCTGTCTGTCTCTCTTTTTTTCTCCCTCCTCCATGCACTTAAGAGGCAGAATAAAAGACCACCCATACCTTAACCTCCCCTTTTTGCTTTTACTTAGAAATGGTGCGGACTGTACCTCAGATCTAAAGAGGAATTAAGAGGAAAAGCGTTAAGCACGCTAACACGTCCGGTGTAAACTCACATTATTGGGATCCCTGTGTTAAATAGCACGTCCAGGTCAGAGCCTAGCCATCCCGGGCTAGAGCAGCCGGGGATAGTGGTGGTTTCCCGGGGCATCTGTTATCTGGTGGTGAGAGAGCTGAGTTATGTCTGCTTTGAGTAGTACAGTAAGGACACCCATGAGGGCCATATATTTTCATGGAGGAAGCAGAGACCTATAGGCCTAGCTAACTCGTTCTGCAAAACAGACAGACAAGTACGTCCATCTTATTCCATCCACAAAGTATATTTTATCCATTCATATTTTGGGAATTCAATAGAATAAAAGGCATTTTGTGGAGATACAAAAGTAAGAATAGTAAGTAAGGATGTTTTCTTGTTGAATGGAATGATTCTGGCCGTGGGCCTATCTAAGCACAGCTTTAGCATAGCCTTGAGAAAAACAGCTTGATGCGTCCACAACATGTGGCCTTTAAATCATTACTTTAACCTAATCATACCAGCTCCACTGTGACATCCTGATTACATCCACAACATGCCTTTAGCAGCGGTTAAAGATCCTCTCTGTGCTCCGGCGACAACGCGGAGACATCCACAAATGACAGCAGAGCCCCCCCTTCATCCTAATGCAACGTGAGTGACACAATGGAGTTGCTTACCGAGCCGGTGGAGTCCGCATTGTGCAACGCGACGCAGAGATTAATGAGTGGCTAACGCCGGCATGAAAGGAATTAAGTGAATTTGAATTTCTCCAAAAGTTAAAGAGCTAATGTTACAGTATTCATTTTCTCTTCAACAGTGAGTGGGAAAATATCCATTAGGAAAATTAACCACAGTTTTCTAGGTAGCTAACATTGTGCAGGCTGTGGTGCTACAGTGTGGGGCCACAGCTAATGAACACACTGCAGAGGGTGATATTTCATTATACAAATTAATGCTCACATTTTAATGGGAAAGTCACATAATGAATCTAGGCTTCAGTGACAGCAATTAGAGGCCCAGATTGTCCCCTTCTGGACAAGGCACTATTTAGCAGTAAGCAGCTGTGTGTAAAAAATAAAAAGGTCCTCGCTCTTGACAATCGCCACACATAACTTCAGGCAGGGCCGCATAACCAATAAGAGTCCCTGTTCACCTTTAAATGAGAAGAAGGGGGAGACAGAGGAGTGGAGGAAGAAAAGAGGGGAGGCAAGACTAGCCCATGTCACTTAACCTTAACCTAACCTTGTAATCAGGATGAATCAAGAGGGACCTGTGATCTCCTTCCCCATTCCTCTTTACCCCTTTCTCCCTTTTTATCCTTTTTCTTCAAGTAGCTCCCTCCTAATGCCTTTTTTCTAAGTGGTCTTTTTTCCTACAGTATACCTACCATACAGTTGAATGACACAATGACACAGCTACATTTAAAATAATATTTGACATCCAGTGTGCATCTCCAAGCATGCATCTGTATGCATGCACAATACAACGTGCAGTATGCATGGTCTGATTCCCCCCTTGATAGCAATTGAACTGTAAGTTCTGCTGGTATTAGATGTACCAATTGACTCCTAACTTCTTACATTAATGATATAACAGTATACATTTAATTGTAACAAATCCCATGAAAAGACCCAAACCAACAATTAATTTATCCTCACACCAATTAGTCAAACCTGATTATTTTACTCATCTCTCCAAAGCACCATGGTTATCCAAGAAATAAAGAAACACTGTTCCTAGTATGGTTTTTCATAATATCTTATGACGACTTGTTATTTTTTTTTTTAAAGGGCCCTATTATGCTGTTTGGGGTTTTCCCTTTCCTGAAGTGTGTTATGTAGGTTTTGTGCATTTGAATGTTCAGCAAAGGCTTAAATACCTGTGTTCCCTACTATGGAACTTCAACATGAGCATAATAGGGCCCATTTAAACATTATTCTGTCAGGAAACACATTAGGGAACACAACTCCGTGATTAAGTTAAGGAAAATATTGTAGTTTGGTTAAAAATAATTATAAAAGTGGCAAAGTTAGGTGGGAAATTAATCAACGTTTGCCAAGCAATAGACATGTATTAATCCGCAGTGAAAATAGTCCCCATCAAACAAATGATTCACTCCTGTATTTGCCATTCTGTGGACATATTTATCCAAAGTTACTGACTGTATATGTTGTCCATCTATGGTGTCCCTTTGTCCCCGAGGCAATGGAACTGTTAACCCTGACAGCATTAGAAATTCACCACAAACCACAAACTAAAGCAGATATACTTGAAACAGATGTAAAACAGCTTCAATCCATTATTCAGTCTTTCAAACATCCTATTGGTGTTTTTCCCCCTCTTGCAGCCAAATGGAAATTCATCTTCCAGTATGTCATATCTATTAAGCCATTTTAATTGCCCCTCTGTACAGGTTGGGGTATTTATCTTTACTTGTTTCTATGGCGCTGTCACAATTCACACAAAGCCAGATGAAATCAGTACATGCCACATGACGTGTAAACACACTATGCAAGGGCAGATCCCAGTGCAGCAATCATCAGTAGAAAGATTTACAGCCACCAAGGTGTCACCTAGATGTTTATGAACTCAAGTCAAATAAGAAAAAAAGCAGCAGCGATGCATTTTTATATATCTTTGGCAGGAACAAAATGTCCAAATTAGTTTATAGAAGCCAAGACAGACAATAGCGAAAAGTTGACCGTTCTATTTTTAACTCCCGGGTAGCAATTTTCTGGTTTTGTGGCGGCAGTGATCTGTCATGTGGCTGGGAGGTTGTGCTGTTTGCGCTGATATCAATTAAAAGTGGATTAACGGGTACATAATGACCTTTAGCAGTAAATTGTGTGTAATGTTGCAAGGCAGGATACAGTATATTCCCCAGATGTCACACCAGGCCCCTGACGTATGATGGAGCAGATGTCTTACCCAGTCCAAATGGCTCTCTAAGACACAAACACACACACACACATACACACAGGCTCAGGCCGACAAGCATGCATAAACATGTGTTCGCACACATTCCAAATGGTGCTCACACACGTAGATGCAGAAAATGTACTTGTCTCACTCGCTCCAGATATATTTAAATGCTTGATTTTAATGAAAAACTGGAATCAGCTGATAGCTCTCAGGGCGTTTGTATTTATATTTTCAGTATAGTGTCAAACACATACTATTCTGTGCTTTTCATTCTCGTTTCAGATATGTAGATGGGACATTAATCTGTATTTCCCCCCCATGAACATTAACAACCTCTTATAAGGAAAGAAAAGACAGAGGAGGGGAAAAAAAGATCAGATCAGTCTAATTTCTGTCTAATTTGGCTCCTAGAATATCATTTTGTCCAGTTAGAGGAATTGAGAATGATCATTTGCATCAGGGACGTTTCCTTATTGAATCAGCACTGAGCCTCTGTGCGGCAGCTCACAGGAGAAGCACTTATTGGGTTAAAAGCTCATCTCGTACGGTTTATTTTAAATATACTCTATGCTTCATAGCCACTCTAGCGTAGGATAAAAGATATCAGGGCTATCTGACTCTGCATGCTCCCTTTCTCTTTTTTTGTCTTCTCTCCTCAGCCTTTCCACCTTCAATTTTCTTTTGTACACCCTCCTATTCTTCTCAGTGCTGTATCAATATTGTATTGAGTTGGTGTTTGTGGCCCTTTATTTGAGAACTCTGCAGTAGGTCTGCAGATCGCAGTCTTTTTCTGGAATGGTGCCCTCTAAATAATGATAAATTACTTGAGCAGTATGCCATTTGCTAATTATATCCATGATTTACTACACAGCCCGACTTAAATCATTCAAACCAGTCTTGCGTAACAATGCCTTTTTTCCTTTTATAAAATGGTTTCCATGTGTATAATCTAAACAGTTTACAGCCCTATACTGTATATATAGAAATGTGCATACACACAACGCCACCTTCATCCTTTTATTCTTTTTTCCAGCAAACCCCCTCTCTTTTCACACAGTCACTGTTATCCCTCTTACAGAAATTCCACTCTTAGAACTTTTTATATGTATATATTTAAAAAGAAAAATCCAGCTTAGCATTTTTTCCACTCTCTGTTCATTGTTTAATGAATCCAAATCTGGCTCAGACTCCAAGCCTATTATAATTGCTAGCAGGATGTGTTCTATTTCAACATAAGTATCATTCCAATGGAAGATCCACTTCTGGCAGAATAATGCCGGTGTTATACCATTATCAAGAATATTCATTAATATGGATGTGCGGCATAAATAAATATATGTAAAACACATTCACCCCTCTTTTACCGTAATGTAAATCTCTTTGATCTGTGTATCCGGTATTGAATCATATTGTTCTCTATCATGGGGCTGCACTGCAACAAGCATGTGGTTCACATATGTTGCCTTTTGTATTTGAAATACTCATTGACTATTGTGTTCAACAGTGTGGTAGTGGTTGGGGAAATGTTATGCCTTGGCTGATTTATGCTTCTCAAGATAAACTGCAAATAGAGAATGTCCCAGAAATTGTACTCTCAGGCCTGACAGCGAACAAGGCCAGAACAGAGGCAGGATGACCCCACTGCAGGCACACACACACACACACACACACACACACACACACACACACACACACACACACACACACACACACACACACACACACACACACACACACTCACACACACACACACACACACACACACACACACACACACACACACACACACATACACACACACACACACACACACACACACACACACACACACACACACACACACACACACACCGCATCGAGACAGTTTTGTTGTCAGTTGAAAATATGATCTCTTGCAGTGGACTGAAAGCACCATATGGTGAAATGTTGTTTATGGTGTTGATGTGAGTGATGGCTCACTTGGCGGGGCTGGATCAGGCTGGATCGACCCATATTCAGATGCCTACTCCAGCACCCTATCCCAGTCCAAACACATACACACACACTGGCAGTATAACACGCTCACCGATTGAGCATGTGATTGTTGATTCAGTGCCAGATCCTGTTCATTTCCGTTGTTTTGTAGTTTATATGAATGTGTGCTTTATTGTTTTGTTTTTTCCATGAACCTTTTATTAAGAGTTAGAAACTGCACGTGTTTGGATGCAAACTAAAACCAAGGCGTTGCAATAAACCCTCTTTTTTATAGAAGTTAATGAAATGCATATCTTTTCTTTTTAGCTCTACACATTTGACCTAATTTTCTTTGTTCAGGGAGGTTACATGACCCTAGGGTCCACATTCCCTACTCCAATAAATAGATTTTGATATCCAGTCAATCTAATAATCAGGTTAATTATTCACTGTTTTCCCGCTCTTTCCCTTTCTGTTTCTCTGTCTCTTTCTTGGCCTCTCAGGAGAGAAACCCTACCGGTGCCCTCATTGCGACTATGCTGGCACACAGTCTGCCAGTCTGAAGTACCACCTGGAGCGCCACCACCGTGAGCGCCAGAACGGCTCCACCACCTCGGCTCCATCCTCTTGCCACAATGCTTCTTCTGACCACAAGGAGGATCACGGGAAGGCGACTGGTGGCGGAATCTTTGCCCGACCGGATGTCCTTCGTAATGTCTTCAAGAGCATGCCACCCAACCTGGACTTCAGGTCTGGTCCATTGCTGCCCCATCAGTGGGCATCGGCTGGCATGATGTCTCCGCACGACCGAGATCGTGAGCGCGGAGACCGCCGCTTTGACTCCTCTGCTGAGAACATGAAGACGACCGATGGCCAGTCCGCCCTTGTCTCAACAGCGCCAGATGGCTTCTCCGACCTTAGCAGGGCTTACCAAAGCATGATGGGAAACGGAGTTCACTTTCAAGGTTCTCTCCAGGCCTTTATGGACAGCTTTGTCCTCAGCTCCATGAAAAAGGATTTGAAGGACAACCAGGGTCAAGCCCAGCTCCAGGCCCAGCTCTACCATGACAATGGTGAGCCCAAAGCAAAGCGGGCCGTCTCGGCTGAGCAGGAAGATAAGGTCGAGGTCAAACAGAAACCAGCGCCTGGCAAACCTGGGTCGCAGTATGAACCGCTTGATTTGTCTGTGTCAGTCCGGCCTGAGTCTGGATCTGGATCGATCCCCGGCTCTTCTACCACCATCCATGATAATGTGGCATGGCATGGCTGCCTCTTCTGTTCCTACTCCACCTCCTCATTGGAGCTCATGGCTCTGCACCTCCAGGCCAACCACATGGGTAAGGCCCAACAGCAGCGGTCTGAAGCAAGCAAGGAGCTTCATGGAGAGACTTCTCCCAACACCTCCACCAACGCCAATAATGCTGGTGGTGCCCTGGACAAAGATGAAGAAAGAAATGGAGAGAAAAACCAGGGAGGCTGGAACAACCATATGGACCAGCCCTACAACCCCTTCCAGAGTGACTTTTACAGGAGGTTTGGTGGCATGTATGATGGATCCCAGAGGGCCAACCAGGGCCTTCAAGTGTATTTGGGCCCAGCAGAACAGGGTCTAGACCTTCCTATCCAGGCCTTTGGAGGAGCACCTTCAGCTGGAGATGACCATATCAGGGTGAGGGGGGACACCGAAAACGACCAGGTTGTGTCAGATGACGAGCTGGTAAAGGCTGGGCGACGCAGTGCTAGTGAGACTCCTTCAACCACCCCTAAAAGACAGCTGCAACAGAATGACTCAGATGAAGAGGAAGAGGAGCGGGGAGTGGCCGAAGAGGAGGAGGAAAGAGATGAGGATGGGCAAATGGACATGGAGAGAGAGGAACAAGAAAGTCCAGGTTCTGACCACTTCCAGAACCACTCCAAAATGTTTCAAGACAACTCCTCCCTGCCCCTAAGGAGTGGTTTGCCAGCGTCTACCATGACACCACTGTCTCTGGTTCCCCAATCCAAGAACCAAGCTTTGCCACTGGAGAAGCAATGGCAGCAAGGCCTGGCCCTCCTGTCTCCCGGAGGGCCTCCAGGACTCTTGAAGGCTGAGCAGCAGAGCCACCTAGAGCAGCAGATGAACATGCTGTCTGTCCTAAGAGCCTACAGCAATGACAACCTTCCCGCATTCAACGGCCTGGGAGGCGAAGCACCTGCAGGGGGCATGAAGAGGCCAGATGCACCTGGTGAGTGTGTTTAACACCTTCTTGCACTGAAAAGCACACACAGAAGAACATACACATATATCCACAGACAGCTTCACCAAAGTCATGAATACACATGTGTTTTTGGTACACAAATTCAATTTTCCAGCACTGCATACACTAGACAAACACATATTCGTGTTTTTCCCTGACACCCACAAAGGAATCTCAGACACTCACTAAAGGTCTTGAGATTGGCCCTGAAGTGATTTCAGCCTTATTTCAAGCAAGTTTAGAAGCTATCAGCCTGCCGACCAGCAACAGATTAATCTTTATTACGCGTTTATATTACTGGAAGTGCAGCGCCTCCCTCCCGCTCCACAGCATGGAGGGAATAACCCTGGATGAGTAAGAGCAGGACCTCAGCTCCCCGTGCCACCTCCTCCACATGTCTTATAACTATCTTAGCTCTCATAAAGCCAGCTCCCAAAAGCCCATTACTTTATAAGACTCGTCGATCTATGACCCTGTGAAAAATGAACTGTCAACTTTCATGATTCTGCTAAGGTTACAGCTGCTCCTTGAGACCCAAGAAGGAAATGCTTTTTCTCTTTTCCTTTTTTCTTTCTTTACAATGCTCTTTCACTGTTTAGCGGTGGTTTCTAAAGGGCCTTATAGGAAGAAATAAAAACCCAAAATGGCTGTAAAGCTTTAAAATACAGTATATAGAGATAGAACATGCAGACAGGGAAACATTACTTCGTTCTAACAGTGTAAACTGAGATCTATCAGTGACAAATTCACATTAGAAATTTAGAGATTTTCAGACAGAGTAGGCAATTACCCACATTTGAAAAGCAAGCAAAATAATAAAACATTGAATAAATAAAAAGGATTGTAACGGTGAGATGCAGAATGTTGTATTCAACTGAATTAATGTATAGTATTTACTCAACTGCTGTCTCCTATTCATGATCATCATAAATCTAGACATTCAATTTTTAATCATTTATTAACTTGACGTTTTATTATTTTTCCAGTTTTATCAACTACAATCATAAATGTTTCTTTTATTTATGTGGATAATAAAAGAATGACTACAAATGTTTAGAGCTCATGTTTACATTCATAAATGAACAGTAGATATAATATACAATACTCTATAATAATAGTATACTCTTGAAGCAATGCAGCTACATGTGTTTACCTGACCTTTCCATCTGGCAAAATGCGATGCATTGTTATGGAGCAGGTCTCTTTTCATAGCTTAACATGATGACATATTTTTAGATTAGATTGTTAGATTAGTATATAAATATATGGATATGTTTTGTTTAATTGAGCCTTTGTGTTTAATCAGAAGGTGTTTGAAGACAAGCTATGTAATGTGGGCAGTTCCCTTTGTAACGAGGACTGCTTGACCTTTATAGAGAAGGACTTACCTGTTGTTAGTTTAACGTAGTCTGACTGTAATTATAATCTACCTATAGGTTTGAACGTGAGTCAGTGTTAACCCTGTGATGGACTGCATGCTGTAAATCAAATGTAAACCCACCAGTAAGTGTTTTTAGTGTTGATAAGACAATCACAGTCTCTACGAGTACTGTTAGTATCATAACTATGATTTCAAATACTACCACTAGTACTGCCATTACTAGTACTGTTTCTAGAGCAACATTTTCTGACCTTTAATTTAAGAGCAAAATGGTACATTTATCCACTATGTAACACTGGCGCTTCTATTGGCTAGCACTCACATTGTACGTGATAGTCTAAATAAAAGTTTCTGAGCAGTTGACCAATCACAACAGAGCTTTCCAGCTAATCAATCAGAGCAGACTCGGCTCTGGTTTCATACAGAGGGTGAAAAGAGGTGCTGCAGCACAGTATGATAAAAATAAAGAACTTTTTGAACATTTAAGCATGGAGACATGTCACAGGAGAGGCACTAAATACTAATATGAACCGGAAAATGAGCAGAGTAGTACTCTTTAATACCACAATGTTGAACAAGTCTGTCATACACTAAAATTGAAGATTTATGTACTGTATTCGATATTTTCATTGATTATCACATATCAACTTACTGTATCATATTGAAATTAGGGATATCTGCAACCCGATAAGTATAGTTGTAAAAAGAAGATATACTTGAATGCAGGAATGCAGTGACCTAGAAGTATACAGCAGTGTAAAATTAGTAGAATATCAGTTCATTACGTGGGTAAATGAACTTCTCCCACGCCTGTTGATACTACCCTCCCTTCAACTATAATTTCTACTGTGACTGCTGCCAGTTCTACCACACATACTACAGTTGTTTGATAAAGCTCGGATGAGAAAATAGATCCTTGTGTTTCATAGCAAAACGCACTATTACAGCCCCTCTTTATGTGTCCACTTGTAAACCCCTTGTGTTGGGGGTCACCCACATTCCACTGTTATTGGGTAGGAGGAGAAGGTGAGGGGGGTGGCAAAGACATCCGCAAAACTCAATTCAGACCTGGCAAAATGTGATTATCTGGAGTGGGTTTGCATTAGGTTTGTATGCAAATACGGCATAAATCATTAATATCGAAATTCTCCCTTGAATCTTCGGGAGCTGTTGTAGGGCACGCGCCACACGTCTGGAGTGGCCGTCTCTTCATTAGTACACCCAGAGGAGGGGCCAAAGGGGCTGCAATACACATGAATGTACTTGCACTCTGACACATAAACAGATACACACATGTACGGATCCACGCATATTCACACATCTGTAGTATTAAACCACACCTCCCCCAATTGGCGCAGGAATTGGATTTATAAATAAATGTCATTAACAACAGCAGCGGCCCTGAGGTCTCTGTAATCAGACGAGGTATCTGGTTACCGAGGTACAGTACGCTGTGTAAAGATTGATATGAACCCGCACCATTTGCTGTAGGCCTACTGTAGATGTGCTTCACGCAATCAATACTTGGCTGCAGTGGAGACCTATCTATAGCCATACATTATCAAACTTGAAGTATTACATTATTCAAACAGTGCTGTACATGCCGTGAATGCTTGCGAACATCGCTCCTCACATCGTATTACTTACATTACCCCCCGCTCCCTTGTTCATTTCATATATTAAAACGTGGACCAGGACTTCGGAAGGTTGAGATTGACAAGCAGGAGAGAAAGTGTTGACAGGAGTGTAAGGACTTGCATGAGCGCGTGGAGGATTCCCGAGGAGAAAATGGCAGAGCTCGCAGCCGAGCACCTCTCACAATTTGAGAAGTGGGCTTTTCGTAAACAGAGATTTAGTGGATGGGAGGGAGAAAAAACGAGAGGTAAATGCCGTATATTCTCACATCAATTAGACCCATCGCTTCCAATTAACAAGTACTCCCACATTGGGCTCCGGAGGTCTCCTCACAAGTGCTGTTGTTTTTCGGTGTTTGTCGGTGATTCAAACTCTCTGGGAGTGTCACCTTCTCTGGGAGTGTCACCTCCTGTACACACATTAGATGGCAGTGACAATAGTCTAATGTTGTAAACTTGAGAGGTTGCACATTGTATTGGGCTGATGTTGTGTCACTACATAGAAGCCAGAAGCAAAGTAATGTAGAAACAGTACCTTAAGGCGCTTTCACACTGCGGTACTTTTCCCACAAAGGTTCATGTGAACTTAGTTCATGTGAACTCTTTAGTTCGCATGAACTAAGTACAGATCGCGTTCACACTGGAAAAAGTCCCTGGGGGTGGATTAGGCAAATGAAGCCGCTGACGTCACTTGTTCTTATTCTGCTTTGGGTTTACTGGCAGGCCGCAAACCACTTCACGGCGTAAACTGCCACCCGGAGTCCCTGGCCGGAAGTCCCCGGAGTTAGGGACTGTAAATCGCCAGAACGCCGACACCTCCTCATCTCCACCGCTCCCATGTTTTATTTTGTGTTGCCATAAGTTAGTCTCTCTGTGTTTCTGCGCTGGGCTAATGCTAATGCTAATAATGCTAATGCGAGGATAATAAAATGGCGGTTTCACAAAACTTTTTGGGAGTTTTGCGGGGCGTGGTTTGCAATCCTTCCAGCCAATCAGAAATATAGCTCTTTTCTCACAAAAGAGCCGTTCGAAAGTCCCTGCTCTCTAGCAGGGACTTTCGTGGGGGTAAAAAGGTTCACATGAACTAATTTTAGTACCGGCTCTTTTTGGTGTGAACGCGATAAAAGAGTTCACATGAACTAAGTTCACATGAACCTTTGTGGGAAAAGTACCGCAGTGTGAAAGCGCCTAATGGAGTTAATTGTGACACCTGTGTTTCACACAATGTAAGCATGAGGTAAGGTGTAGTTTGACATACCCAACTTGATTTAAAGGGGACCTATCATGTAAAATGCACTTTGTGATGTATTTTATACATAAATATGTGTCCCCGGTGCGTCGGGGAACTCACGCAGCGTCAGAAAATAAAACCCTCTCTCTTTTCCTCCGTACCCAAATCTTTAAAAAACGGGGGTACAACGAGCGGATACAGATTCCATCCGAACTGACGTCAATTTGGCGGCGGACCCACAGAAAATTGCTATCAGAAACAATGCCTGACGTGTTTTGGACATCTTTGTTTACATTAGCAAGCCTCGCTAACACTCAGAGCTAGCCTGTCCTATACCTCATTCACACCAACGCAACTCCGGTTTAAGCTCCGTGCTAGAGCTTTTCAGGTTCAGAACCGGTTCTTCGGTTTAGCTCCGGCTCTTTTCACACTGCCCAGAGTCCGACTGGTGCTGCGTCATTGCGTCATCGTTTGCGTCATGATGTAACTGTTTATGTGCCTGCTTCATAAAGCCAAACCAGGCGGAAACCCCTCACAGCTGACACCGACAACAACAATGGCTGATTGTGCTCCAGCTTCCTCTGCACCTCTTCGGAAGACCAGATTCCCAGTAAGTAGTAGGTCTCTTCAGTTGACCACTGCTGCTTGTTAAGTTTCTCCATCGTTGTGTACAAACTGGATACAACGCCGGCTTTTTGTTGTTGTCCGCCCCTGCCCCCGCCTCGACGTAAGCGTGACGTAT